TAATTAGATGACACTCGAAGGGTATTTGCGTTTTTTTAAAGTTCAGTCCACCCTTAGGGTAGAGCTAAGATTTCTAGGGATGGACTGAATAATGGGAGGTACTATTAGGAGGGGGCTGCAATTCAGATTTCTGAGGTGGATTATCCTGAGATGAGACTTCCAAAAGGATTAAGCATTGAGAGGTCATTAATTGAATGAATTCAACAATCAATATCAAGCTTAGCTCATCGTTGTTTACTTGTGCTCATTTGGAGGATTGTACTTGTAGCGCATAGTCTTTGGCTTTTTTAGGTGGATTCTACACAGTCAACTACGATATATTTTGGGATAAATTCAGAGAGCTCAAATTAAGTTTTTATTATTTTTTTTGGATTAACTGAACGCGATGACTGAGTAAGGTTTAGCTGAACGCTTTAACTATTTAAAGGGCTGTAGAACCAATGATGAAATTTCATGCTAATCCGAATTCTGGTAGCATGCTTTTGCATTTGGATCCATACATGGGGAAGGAGATAGTTTTTCCAAGTATTATCCTATTTTTTCTAGCAATCACAAATATTATCTAATTTATTATTTATTTTATATTTCCTACTATTTTACCTTTTGAACATGCAGTATCAACGGTATCAAATTATTTCATTAATTATGTGCATCATTGTAATTAATTCAAAGTGAAATTATTCTCTTAAGCAAGTAATGCATTGCCTTATCAAATTGTTTTGGTTAATTCTTACGGTTTAATGGAACAAAACATATGTATTTTTTTTTTTTTGGTACTCTGTCGTTGCTCATAAATGACTGTTCTTGGATGGAATAAAAACAATGAGTTGTAAATTACCATGTTGAGAGATTATTGTCAGAGAGTCTACAAAATGGTTCTTTATTATCCATTTATACAAGGCCTGTTTGGGCTTAATTGTTTTGCTCATAACTTTGATAGAAATGAATAAAAGTACTTTTAGAGCTGTTGGTCATTTACCAACATTTTCAACTTAGAGTTGGCCAGACAGAAAATTAGTTGTGTTAGTTGGGTTGAAACCAAATTTGGACAAAAAGACACCATTTGCAGTCCCTCCCTTACGCTATAACTCTTGGCGAGGTTCTATTGTGGTTTGGGCAGGCGGATTGTGTGTTGATGACACTTGACCAAAAGTTCTCAAGGATTAGGCTTTATGAAGGCTTTATCAATCAAGGCAAGGCTTTTAAAGTTTGCTCATGTCAACTATCAATCTATCATAGTTCTATTATGTTTATGGCGGATTGAAGAGGTTATTTTGCTAGGGCCTACTAAGAATTTCAAGTAAACAAACACATGTAAGAGAGATTAGGGCTGTTTACGGGTTGGGTTAGGTCGGTTTACTGAGCTTTTTCCAACCGACCCGACCTGGTCGGGTTATCTGAGATAGAAACCGAAACCGACCCAGTGTTAAGCAAAATCGACCTAGTCGGTTTGAGTCAGGTTGGATCAGTTTGGATCGGTTTTGGCTCTAAGTTCATCCATGCCCCCCATGGCCACCTAGTTTTCTGGAAATATATATAAAACTGAAATATGTATTTTAGAAATATATATATATATATATATATATATATATATATATATATATATAAAATATATTGGAAATTTGGAATATATATTTTCTGGAAATATATATCTGACATTTTTCATAATATATATTTTTTAGATATAGATATTGGAATATATATTTTCAGATATTTCAGTTTTTAGTTAAGTAGGAATTAAGTTGATTCGGTGTGTGAAAACCGAAACCGACCCGAACCATCGGTTTATGAATTTGTACAACCCGAAATCGACCGATGCAGATGAAAACATGTCGGTACGGGTTGGTCGGTTTGGTCGGGTTGGGCCTTCTTATGAACAGCCCTAAGAGAGACAAACTTTAGTGGAATTATGACAACATGTTTTAGCAGTATTTAATATATATATATATTTTTTGATGATGTTCAATGTTTAATATATTTGTTGAATGGACCAACCCAACAATTATTTCTTCGATTTCTTTTTATGGTTCTTATTGCCATTACACCTCTTACAAGTTAATTATATTGGACATAGCTCAGTTAGATGGAAACATTGATAATAACTATAACAAGTATATGATTTACACATTTATAACATTGGATATTTTCTTACATCCTTTTACAACAATACATGTCTTATTAATTCAACAATTGAAAATTTTCTCACCCATGCTTAGCACGGGCCCTCTGCTAGTATATATACTATATTATAAAGCAATTAGGTCCCACGTCAACAGCTCTCTCCTTCTCCCATTCCCCCTTTTCTCTTTTCTCCTTAAACCACTCTCCTTTCTCCCTTATCCCTTTCTAACCCTTCCATGTACCAACATGGCAGCCCTCTCTTCTACACTAGAGTGCCACTCCAAATCTCTCTCTCATGTTCTCAATCACTTAGCCAATCCCCTCCTAAAGTTTTTCCTAAACTATCTCTCTCACCTAAAATTCTTCTTAAAACACCTCTTAATCTATATTGCCACGTGGCAGCCCTCTCTTCTTCACTAGAGTTCCACTCCAATTCTCTCTCTCTCTCTCTCTCTCTCTCTCTCACACACACACACACACATGTTACCAATCGGCTCAACCCTCTCCTAAAATTCCTCCTAACAGACCTCTTAATCTATATTATAAACCATCTAAAAACCAAAAGCGTGGGTAAATTAATTAATTAAATTAATTTGTGAAATATTTTTTATATTTTCAATAATTACTGATATTATTGAATATTATTAAGTAAATATCAACACCTAAACAATAATTTTTCATAATTTTGGTAAATTGAAAATTTTAATTACTAAGAATTACTTGCTGAAAATTACTGATTTTGGTAATTTAATTTCAGAATTTTTGAAAATGAATTATTGAAATCAATCATTACTAAAATTTAATAATTAATTAAAATATTAATAAATACAAATTTAATAATTAAAAATATCAGTAATTTTTAGCAATAAGTAGTTATTGATATTTTTAGTGATTTTGGTCAATTTATTAATATTTAATGATATTATCAAACAATAATAAAAAATTTCAGTAATTTTTTAGTGGAAAATTGATTTTAATAAATATAAATTTAATTTTTATATTTTCAGTAATTTTGATATTTACTATTATTTTTGAGCAATAATTAGTGATTTTGTTAAATTAGTGAAACTTAAATTATAAAACTTCAAATTTTTCAAATAAATAATTGGAAAGTTTTAATAATTTCGATAAGTATTGGATACTACATTTATAATTACCATAATTAATGGAACTATATTTATGAGTTTATGGGGTGTTATATGTTTAGGGGATGACCCCTAGGGTAGGAATAGCAATGCGTGGGTTTGGTGCAGGGATCATACTCCCCATCTCGACCTTGATTTTAAATTAATCCTCGTCAAAAATTTTAGCCTGCGTTTGTGGTCCTTGACAGAGAGGGCTTTCCCATCAAGGACCTAAATCTCTAAATTTTTTAATTAAAAGTTTGTTTTTAAAAAGGTATTTATTTAAAATAAAAGATAAATTAAAATGTAAATAATATTTTAAATATATTTCGAAATATATAATTTAAATAATATTATATATATATATGTATATATATATATATATATATATATATATTGATGGAGGGTGATTTGGCATGACCTCGCAGCACGGGTACACGTGGGCGTGACCCTGCTCAAACAGTGACTCGGCATGACAACGCAACGGATGCAACCACAACTCGGGGGGAAGGTCCCTCCAAGTTCAACTCGGCAACTGGGTGGATAAACTACTCGCCGGGAGCCGCCTTGCCTGCACCTCCTCCCCGGGGTTATGGCACTTCGGGGCATCTCGAGTTCGGGGTACCTTGACCTCTCTTGAGGCCCGAGCTCCTCCCAATGGACCTTGGGCCACTCCCAGACAGGAACACACCGATCCATCTCCGGACACCCCGAGGTATAGACACCTCAGGTCAGTCAGCTCGGCATAGCTTGCCACAGGCAGCATGCCGCCTACGGGATAACCCGGCACAGGGTAGCTCGGGGAAGGGTAGTCCGTCACATCGCAGGAAGACCTTTTGCCGACCACCGTACCCGACAAATCTGGGAACAGCGGCCATATCCCCCGTCAGACAACGTCGTGTCTGCCACCATCAGAGGGTGCCTTACACCTGACAAGCACGTACACTACGATGACGGCCCCTCGCGTGCCACCTCAGCCCTGTTAGTAACGGCTGCGGCAGGCTGACAGTGGCGGTTATACCCGCCCTGTCAAAAGCCTGATACAACGGATTTCTGTTATAAGGGGCTTATTCTCAAGGAACAATGTATCTTTTGAACCACTTGCGCAATCTGCACTCTTAGCCTTCGTCTTCCCTTCGTTTCACACACAGAATACTGATTTGATCGTCGGAGCGTTCCCGCTGGGCAAACCTCCCAGGAATTCTTCTTCTTCCTCCTCGTTTCAGGTACCTCTCAGGGGCCACGCGAGTGCCAGCTAAGAGTGACCGGATCACACTACATCATATATATATTTACATATATTTAATATATATAATCAGGGTTGAGGCCAAATATGGACTTCATTCTTTGTCTGGTGTCCCCAATCAGGTATTTCTATTAATTCCACCCCCACCCTATGTCCGCCAAGGCAATCTCCATACTACATCCGAGATATACCTTAATACCGGTGATACCCATTAAGAACCCAGCCCATGATCATTCATATGTATCCGGTGGATGGCGCATGGTTTAAAAGGCCAGTAGACAACCAAAGAAGCAATCTAAACCGTTCAAATTTTAGGACCCCACATTTTACCAGCACACCAATTGATCATCTGGGTTCATAGACGCAAAGATTCCGTGGGCGAATCCATGGTGCACATGTATTTCCAGAATGTTAGTACGTACGATCAGAGATAGATGAGAGAGAGAGAGGGTCTATTGGAGTATTCAAGATAAGGTTTGGATTCCTCTCATTTTATCTAAAATCCCATTTTTTGTACATCTGCTGATCTGAAAAGAAGAAACAACTCCTTCCAAGATAAAGATAGTATTAGTAAGACCCACTGCACTACTGAGGTGAGCAAACAGAGCAACTACGAAAACCAGTTAGATCTTGTTGTGGTTGGGCGATTATGCTAGGTCCTGCTGCTGCAACTCTATCACTCGGACGCACTGCCCGCTTGGCTGCCCCGCCGAGCCATCTACCCGACAAATTTCCCCTGTTTCCCCCAACCAGATGCCCTTCTTCATCATTGCTTCTGCCGTCTACTGTTGCTACTAATGGTAACGTCATATGTAAACCGTTGGCTGTCGGTATGGGCATGAGCCCCCGTCACTCCGTTAGGACTGCCGTCGCCGTTGAACCCAATCAGCTCTCCGACGATCCCTCTTCCAAGGTAAAACCCCCAGTTCTCTCTCTCTCTCTCTCTCTCTCTCTCTCTCTGTGGTAAAACACTAAGCCATGCCTTTAACCTATTTATTTGTGCCTTATAAATCATGATTTATATGGTTTGGTTAATTTTCAAAATGCCATTTCCTTCTCAAAGACTTAAATCCATTTCCTTTCCTGAACCAATTTCCAGGAACAAGCAAAGACATATTATTTTCTGGTAGCGAATGCAAAATTCATGCTTGATGAAGAGGAACATTTTAAGGAGCAATTGTATGAGCGGCTTCGCAACTTTGGAGAGCGTAATAGAGAGCAGGATTTCTGGCTTGTTATCGAACCCAAATTCTTGGACAAGTTCCCCAATATCACCAAGAGATTAAAGAGACCCGCTGTTGCTCTGGTTTCAACTGATGGTCCATGGATCAGGTAACTAACTTAACCTCTTCTTTTACCTTTTCATTTAAGAGAACAATTAAATATGGAATTTTTTTTTGACTCACTTCTTACTATTTACTTTTTAATGGGTCGTCCATGATCCTTCTTTCATATCATATATTGTAATGTTGAGACTTTTTTTTTGATAAAGTATAAATCTTTAGACTGACATCACAAGACACCCACTGGTTTACATTTGGTTTTAAGAATTATGAGTTGGAGACTTGGAGTTAGCAGTTGACAAGGGAATGAAAAGTTAGTTTCCCCTTTCCAGTTTCCACAAAACGGTCAGCCTTTCAATCTATGGCACGATCCACTATCCCCCTTGTCTTCTTCGAAGTGAAAGAAGGTAAATGGTTATCTTGCTTAAATCATTTTTGTTGGTAGAAATCCCAGTATAGTTCTACAGAAATCGTAAGGATTCCTTCTTGCAAGCAAAGAAACTGCAGCTTGCAATAGAAATGAGAGGGAAAGTTAGTGTGGAGAATGGTTACTCATCTATGATTACCAATATTTCAAGTACAGGAACCGAAGACAATCCTGTGTGTAAGCGGTACTGTTTTTCCCAGACTGATAATTGGAATAGCTGACGAAGAATGAATGAGTTTATTCTTTTTGTCATTGAAGAAAGTTGTTTCATTTGCTTATCAGAGAATCATGTGTTAAAACATTTTATTTTACTGTGGGGGGTTTTTGCAGGTTCATGAAGCTTAGACTGGATCGAGTTTTGTCGGAAAGCTATGAAGCTAACAGCCTAGAAGAAGCATTGAACTCGACCCCTGTTAAGTTGGAGTTTGAGAAGCCCCAAAAATGGACGGCACCCTACCCGAAGTACGAGTTTGGATGGTGGGAGCCATTTTTGGCACCCGGATCTGGCAAGCCCAAAGCATGAGATATGACAATTTTTTTTTCCCTTTCTTTCTTTTTTCCCCAATGTAATAGCATTGAGTTCTTGGTGTGTATTTAGGAATTACAAATCCTCAAATACAGCTTTGTTTATTTAGCTGGAGAAGATACTATAGATCTAGTGTTTTTCATTCCAGAGAGGTTAGAGGGCACAAATACAAAATACTGTAAGCGGGGATACAGATAATGGAGACGTCTTTATTATTCTTATGCAGAGCAAACTTTAACGTTCACGAGTTTGATCCTTCCTGGCTTTCAGAGAGAGAGAGAGATTGCTGTAACCATCAAGGAAAACCATTTATGTATTTGACATTAAGGCTATATTCAGTTGATTGTAAGCCAGCCTTCCTTTATTATTTGGTTGAAATGATGATTACTTAATCTGAACTACATGATCAAGAAGAGAAAAAACATGATACCCTTCACCATCTCACGCAGAAATCTTTGGAATTCCACAACTTGCTAGTTACCATTCATTCATTTACTAAGGGAAAGGCAGCATCATGGATTCCGAATTTCCACCAAGTTCCCAGATTTCAATTTTGAACTTAGGCTGTGTTTGGATTAGGGTTAATCATTTATTTTCCATTGATTCAATGGGAAGGAGGAATCGTCCTTGAGATCTTTCCATACTTTTCTTTTTATGTTTTTTTCTCAAGATTAGGCTGGCTTTGCATTTCAAATCAAATAATATAATCTTTCATATTTTGCAAATCTGCAAGGGTCTGTGCATTTGAAACCCCTTCATTTATACCCCCGCTATAAGATGTTTTACCTTGTAGAATTAGCACTTCTTTCATTTGGGAGTAGTGTAGTGTGAATGGAGTAGATGATTCTTATTGTATGACAATCAAGAAATTTAGTCTCAGTTTGGAAGGAGTATAAATACAAATATGTACAGTGCAAATACATACAAATTGTACCTAAAAAAAGAAACTGAGATATGTAGTGGATGTTTGGTTCCGTTTACGCTTATTCAGTAAATGTTTATTGGCAGTGTCACATAGGCGCCATATCAGCATTTTCTCTCTCTTGCTCTTCTGCATGCATTGAAAATGTAAAAAGTGAACTTTGGTTTATGTGCATGCTAGCCGTTTTTAAAATTTATTTTTTGAAGCTTCCACAAACGGCCAGGTGTTTATTCTCTGTTATGCTGAAGTGGTGTCTAGTTGTCATAAACGATTGCAATTATTACATTTCCCGGTTTTACTAGCAAATAAAGTACAAACATTTATTCAATAAACATAAACGGAACCAAACACAAACGTATACATTTTAAGGTTAATGGCACGGGGTATGGTATGGATGACTTTCTGTTAATACCAACTAGTACTCATTTCATATCAATAACAAATATCATGATTCTTCAACCAGTATGGTTTTCTTAGATTTGGTGTCAGAGAAGGACTTACAGATCACCTGTAATTTTAGTATATGAAATAGAGAATGACCCTTGAACTCCCTAGCACATTCCAATGACCCTTTCCCCATTCTGAATTTTTAAAGCAGGTTGGGGTAAAAACAAAAAAAAAAAACGAAAAACAATTGTTTCCAAATTGAGGTAAAGACTATGGACAACAGAAAGGGAAAATTATAGTATCTCCTAATTGCCCCACAAAATGAAGAAGAGCAAAGACAGCAGCACAAGACAAAGGAACCAAAGCATTGACGGCAGAAAATTACTCAATATTGTGTCATCTCCTTGGCATTTGCTGCCTTTTCTTGATTTCTCATCAGCGATGTTTCTTGTCCATGTTTAAAGCGCCTTTGGGAAGTTTTTTAAGTACCTTTTCATCCAGCACTGCATAGTGCTTGTTCACTTCAACCATTGCTTTCTCAGCAAAACTGTCCACCTCATCCTCATGCTTCTCATACAATGCTGGTACTGTATATACAATCACAAACACTGCCACCAGAATGAAGGAATACATTCAGAAAGTATTGTTGCTATCCTTCTACCAATACAAAGAGTAGATGGCCCATCTATATTCAACCATACATCGACTGATTAATTCTCAACTGCCCATGCATGTATCAACCATAATGACCATATGAAAACACAGAATGATATCACCCACATCTGGATTATATTAACATATTATTTTAAATTTAATTCTTTTCCAGGTTATGTGGTACAAAAAGATATTTTCTAACTTCTCAGCTTTGACATAAAAGATCTCAGCAGAAAGGGAAAAAAAACTTCAAATCAGTTTAGTCAAGGTTACCATGAGTACTTGGTTGTCATGGAAAATTAGGAGCTTTTATTTTTTATTTTTATTTTATTTTATTATTATTATTTTTTTTGGGGGGGGGATGATCTATTCCCATAGTATGTTTGGTTCAGACAGGAATGGGAATGGGAGTTGGGATCAGCAGGAATGAGATTTCACTCCCAAGGGAGGGGCAGGGAATGGTCATTCCCTCAAATGGGGGAATGCCATTCCAGCAGGAATGGGAATGGGATTCCAATTCCGCCCAGCCAAACAGTTAGAACCGGAATAGCTCATTCCAATTCTGATTCCAGACCCCTATTCCTGCGAATCAAACAGGGCCTAAATGTTATGAAAATATAAAAACAAAGGAAACTGACCTATGTAGAAGAGTGTCAAGAAACTGAACCAATTGCCAACAACAGAGATGATCCATAACACTGCAACTACCTGTAAATGGGTTTTGTTTTAACAGTCAGAAGGAGAATCTGAAGAAAAGAAAAACTTTTAGTAAAATATTTACTTAATACAAGAAATGGTACCATGAGAAATTTCTTCATGTCATTCCCAGAAGCTACCTCCCTGAAGGCTGAAAAGGCCCGATTAAATTCATACCTTAAGGTGAGAGCAATGCTCACAAATATGTCTTCTGGTAATATTACCTCAGGGAAATTTGGCGGGGACCTGACACCACCAAAAAACAAAAACATTCATATCAGATCCAAATCATTGACTAGCATGAAACTAGGGCTGCAAATGAATGGATCAAATCATATAAACCTAGATCAAATTTGATTTGTTAGTATTCAGATTCGAATCAAATCTTATCCATTGGATTCATATTGGCTTGCATTGAATTTGGATTGCAATCAGATGTTGAATAGGATTTATAAATTAAACTAAAGAGGATTAAAAATAGTATATATTATTATTAACAAAATGAAGTAAAAAGTACTTTACTATTGCATATTATGAACAAAATAAACTGAAATAATTCATATGAAACTTGAATGGATGACTCTTTAGTGAAAATACCACATTAGTAGAAATTTTACTAATAGATACAGTATAAATTTTAGGCATATATGTTTAATTTGAATTGCATTGGACAGGGTATATCCACATTCAACCCAATTATAAATGGATAAACAAAAGTAGACCATTAAAATCACCCCTTAATAGAACAAGAGGAAGCCGTTGTTGTGAGTAGGAAGTGCTTTTTTGTTATCTACTTGTTTGCATCGACTGTAAAGAGATTTACATTTGACTTTGAAACAACATTAAACAATCTCTTCCCTCGTGATGAATGAAATGGTATGGCCAAGATAGAATTGATCAGCAGTTCAATGAAAAAGAACAGGAGGGAACAAACTTACTTATTCACAAGGCAAGCAAAATTGGACCAGACGAACAAAATGGCCAATGAAAGAATAAGAGAATGGCAAACAAAAGTAAGAAAGTGGTAGTCTAGCCATTCGAACAGAAGCCATATGACAGTCACCCCAGCAACTATGCAGCCTGAAACCTGCTTGTTTCTCCACAGTATGATATCAGCGTCTGAAGACAGAGCAGACAATCAATTAGTAGGTCAACATAACTTAAACCTGAAAAAGAATTTACACCAAAATAACTATTAAACAATCAAACAAGCAGAACAAAAGTAGATACTAAAATCACTTCACAAAAGCTGTAAAAGGACATAATCAAGGTCATAGCTGAAGGAAAATTTTAATTTCTTTCCCATCCAAAATAACTTTAATCATCTCAATCATTGTATTACTAACCAATGAGAGGAATTTATCAAACTATCTTATGACAAAAAATAAACTAAACAAGAGAAAAGAAATGCATTAGAAGGACAACCAAAACAAGATGGCCCATAAAGAAGATAGGTGGTTTACATTTTCCACCACCAAAGACAGCATGAACAGGCCTTTTCCTGCCAAATAAACGCTTTTTCCGTGGTGGCAAGTACTTTTCACTCTCGGAGTCCGATGAAGAGTCAGCATGCTTGTGAATCGTATCAGCAATCTTCTCCACCAAAGATTCAGAAAAGGAATCTCTAACAGGATCCGACATGTTGCCCCAAGGATCTGGAACACCCCAACTAAGCAATTGAGTTTGAAAATCAAAGTGAAGAATGACAATTATCATCACTGCTCATTAATAATCTTCTCTCTTTGATATATGATTTTCAATTTTTCTTCATCAACAAGAAGTATTTTTTTTCCTTTGATGCAAAAAACAAAAAGCCAACAGCCTGTATAAAACATTCATGGGTGTCGATAGAAGTATATTCATTCTACTGTACTGGACAAACAAGCGATTATATTACAGAAAGATTATCCAATGATAATCTGGTTATGGTCGAATTCAAAGTCTGAAAAACTGAAATCCCCTAAAGTCCGCCATAAACAATCAAACATAATAAGCTGAGAACATTTACATTTTCTATAATGTTCACCATGCGGCTCTTGTAAAAAATATACAGAACATTAACGCATGATCAACATTACATAACTCAAACTCATCAGAGAGCAAGATCAAAGCTTCCATCTTTTGTTTTATTCAAATAGACATGATCTGTTTAAAGAGTAAAACTTAAAATTGTATATTAAAACTAAAAGCAGAATGTCAAAGCATCAAAAACCAAACATCAACAACATTCCTTCGAAATGTATATTAATATTAAGAAAACATGTACATCAGAGAATTTCGTGAATCATACAGAGAATTTCAAGGAAAAAATTATATAGGATGCCATGGGAAAAAGATCTCCCGAAAATCATACGAACCCCTGAAAGAACACGGACACACACACACACAGAAAAAGGAAAGAGATAAAAAAAAAGCTTAAATCATTTACTGTAAAAGACATGATTTATTCAAGAAATGTGTTGGAAAACAAGCCAACAAGTTCATGGAAAAAATCATATTATATTCAGTCTTATTAAAAATGTTTTTTTTTGTTAAAAAAAGATCCAATCTTTCCCGCAAGAGATTGAAGATTATAAATGCGTCTTAGATGGAGTTTTTCTCGTTTTTCTGGTATATTAGTAACATCGTCATGAGAGGAACAAAGAGAAACCATAGGAAATCCTTCTTTGATGAATAACACCAAATTGTTCAAACCCACTATACAATAAGAATATATATATATATATATATCTCAATAAAACGCATGATTCACAACAAATTGTACAAATCCATCGCAGAAAAGAATTGTAATGTTTCAATCTTTCCTTCGAACAGACATTAGTTCTTCAAATCGTACACTATAAAACATGCAAACAAGCTCACAAAGCAAATCATCTTCCATTCCATCTCATGAAGAAAATTTACAAGAAATCTAATAATAAGAGAAACCTACTTTCAGAAATGATTTCCAATAACTTTCATTTATTATCACAGCCCTTACTATATTGTAAGAGAAAGGAAATCAAGAAAAACCATCTCTTTCGAAGGCTATTAAATAATCATTGGAGCCCATGAAAGGCATCTGCACAGTAAGCGAACAAACAAATAAATAAAAGTCGTACTCTGTGTGCAAATGCAAGAGAACTCGTTGAAGCTTTCTCTCTATCTTCTTCTTTTTTCTTTTTTCTTATCGTGTATCCCCTACAAAAAAATAAAATGGAACAGAAAACAGAGTGAGCGCAAAAGAAATATAAAACCCCGACGGTCGTAAATATATATACCTCATGCAGAAAAAGGATTCAACAGTTATTATGATTCCGTCGTTGGAGGATGTAACGTATTGGGTGGTGTTGTTAATCATCTTGACCCCACACGTGGAATCAACTGCGGATATATAGAATTTTATGGAAATTAATTCAAATTTAAATGGGGACTATGACCAACCCAGATGATGGAATCTTGATAGGTGTACTCCTTAGAGTAAAACCGTTGGATCGAGACTTTTGGATCCAAGATCATATTAGAGACTTCTGGATTTTTTTTTCTTTTCTCAAATTTATGAGAATGAGACTGATTTGGCTTTATGGTTTAGATTGTATTAAACTATTTGATGGTAAACTAGAGGGATGGACTATGACCAACTGCAGGACAATCCGGAGCTTTCTCAATACAATGCGCCAAAGTTCGCATTACAAAGTCTACAAAGCATTGGTTTATATTAGAAATTAGCGGAAATCGGTGCGATGTACGGGATTTATTAAGTTAAGAGTTAAATAATAAAAAGGATTATTTACTAAAATATTTCTTATATTTTCATAGATTTACTAAAACACTATTTATAATTTGTAATGTATTTAATCAATCTTCTATCAGATGACATAGTGGAAAATGATAGTGTTGATCTTAATGTTCATTCAAAAATACCATTTTTTTCCCTTAATAAGACATGGGCAACCACTCTATTGGTTATATTTGATCAGTTTTCTAGTATTTTAGGTCCGCTTTGGATTAAAAATTTTCTAATTGGATCAAGTTGGATCAATTTCACTTTGGCCATTTGTAAACCGACAAAAATCAAATGACCTAACCATGGATATATATAATAATATTTTATATTTTAAAGATAATTTTTAATATGAAAAAATGGGAAATTTCTCATATTTCTTAGTCTAAAATGTTTTATATAAAAAATTTAATTTTTAAATTTATTTTTAATAATTGCACTATAATTTTTAAAATTAAATTAATTTTTTATGTTTAAATCTTTTAAACCGACTAACCAAACCAAAAAATCGACCCAAACCAATACAACTTGAGTGGGTCGGTTTTCACAAAAAGTCATTCGATTTCAACTAACCAACTCCCCAACCTGACCAGGTCAATTTGGTTGACCAAATAGTCTATGGCCAAATCGAACCAACTCATTAACACCCATAATTTCAACTAAATTAATAGTTTCACCTCTGATAAATAACAATAGTTTAATCTCCAATAATTATTAAAAATCTATAGTGAAAATAAATTATTGAAAATATATTGATAATGAAAAAATACAATAAGTACTAAAAATATATTAACTTAGTAAAAAAATAGTATAATCTCAAATAATAGTTTAATCTCTAATAAATGCTAATCAATAAGTTATAACAAAAATACAATGAGTACAATAAATTAAATTTAAAAATTTCAATAATAGTGGTTTAATCTCCAATAATTATTAAAAGTTTTCTATTAAATAACAATAAATAAATAAATTTATACAAAATCATTAACAATATAATTATCATAAAAATAATAAATAATTACTGAAATACAATAAATATTAATTTTAGTATATATAATTATATAATAAATACATATTAAGAGTTTAAAATTATTAATAATAAATATTATTTTTTTGAAAGTTATTTTCTCTAATACTACTTTAAGTGAAATTAGTTATTTACAATATTCTGTAAAAATATTAAATTATTATTAATTTAATATTATGTTACAATTATTTTTTCTACTTTTTGGTATTTTTTAAATTTATTACATATTTCTTTATTTTAACTATTTAAAATCTAGTTATGTTAAAAAGTTTGTTATTTAAAATATTTAGTTATTTAAATACTTATATAAAATATTAAGTATTTATTGAATTTAATTATCCATAAAATCATAATTTATACTTTGAAGAAGTTTTTTAAATATATTACATAATTTCTTTATTTCAACTATATGAAATATAGTTATGATGAATATTTAGTTATTTAACTATTTGAATAATCTATAAAATTTTTAAAATTTTTTGTTATTTGAATTTTATTTATATAAAACTATTACATATTATTAAATATTTGAAAAGCATTTAAATTGATAATCCAAAAAAAACATAATTTAAATTTCTATTACATAATTTTGTGATATATTTTGTAAAAACATAAAATTATTTTTTGTATTTTTAATAAATATTTTAAAGTTATATCTAATTTTGTTAAAATATTTAACCAATTCTTAAATTTTTTAATCTGAAGTTTCTTTAGATAGATATAGATAAAAAGTAGGGGAGATGATAAATAGGAATTAGAGATAATTTAGGAGATAAACTCTCTACTAAATTAGAGATAATTTTGGAGATAAATGGGAATTAGAGATAATTTAGAAGATAAATAGGAATTATAGATAATTCTAGAGAAAGTGGTGGAGGTACTTTAGGAGAAATTTTAGGAGAATAGATTATTTAGGTTATTGGGAAGTGCATCTCATTGGTAGTTTCAAAAATGACATAGAATAAAAAAATAAAAAATTGAAAGAAAGGAGAAAATTTCTTAATATATATATATATATATATGAACCTACAAATAAAAGTTTATTTATTACTCATCCCATTCCTCAAAAAAAAATGAAGTATCATGCATATTAGTGAATACTTAATACTAGCGAGTTATTGTATACAAGGTTCAACATATTGGTAGGGAGTATTGGTCTCGGTACTGTTTTTTATGTTTTATTATTATTATTATTATTTTTTAAACTGATTCAGAGGGGCCGGTTTAAGGCTGATCTCCCCTGAACTGTTCATCGACCCGAAACACCCCCTGCAGAGGCATATTGAAAAGGCTTCAATATAATAAGTATCAACCGATATGGGCCGTGACAAAATTTTGATCCTTGCTTATATATTTTGAATTTGTTAGTGAATACTGTACATATTATCTAAAACAGAATTTTGTATCTATAATTTTTTTTTCTTCACACAGTGCTCTCTGCTTTCACGGAATCCACTCCTGCGGTGTTTGCACAGGTAGACTGTTTTAATACCCCACGGGAAGGCACAAATTAAAACCCTTTAACTGTTTTTTGATATTTGGTAACAAATTTGGATATTTGCTTAATTAATTCTGATAAAAAAGCGTTTAAGTGATTTTCTGCCCAGTGTTTTATGCTCTTTTCAATGGCGAGTCTTGCATTTGCTGGCGTGCAGTTTCACTTTAGAACCACTCTATCTTCAACCTATGGAGACATGTTCAATCATCCACTTATAATTGGATTTAATACTGATCCACCCAGTCTAATCTCATATCATCCAATCCAATTCAATTTAAACATGTATGATCATATATATATATATATATATATATATATATATATATTTATTTATTTAAAATTTATGTTACATATTAGCAAACTTTGTTTGAATGTGGTATTTTCACTAAAGAGTCGTACATTTTTTTTTTAAATTCAACATTCATAATATGAAATAGCAAAGTAATTAAGGAGAATGAGGGTTCAGCCCAGGGTCAGAATTTTAAGCCCAAAATACAATTGGGGTAAGTGTCGGTTCGGAATTGATGCCAATTCACAGGGGGTCATTGATGTATATAATGGGAGTAGGCTGTTCGAACAATGTTCAAATGGGCTTTGCACTGATTGAAGCCAATCTCATTTAACATTTTGAATGTTTATAGATCTGCAGTGGAATTCAGAAATCTGTATCGAATTTGCCAGTACTCCGTACTTTTCCAAAGTTATTTTTAATTCCTAATATATAATATTCTGATTGCAATCCAACTCCAAGTTCGATCCGATGCCAAAATAAATCGAATGGATAAGATTTGATTCAAATCTGTTTATTAACAAATCAAATTCGATCTAGGCACGCCTGATTTGATCCGTTCATTTGCAACCCTAGTTTCATGCTAGTTAGTGTTTGGATCTGATAATGAATGTTTTTGTTTTTCGGTTGTGTCAGATCTCCCTGAGCCTGAGGTCATATAACCAGAGAAAGACCTATTTGTGAGCATTGCTTTCTCATTTAGGTATGAATTTAATTAATGGGGCCTTTTCAATATTCGAAGAGTTAGTTTTGGAAATGACATGAAGAAATTTAATACCATTTCTTGCATTAAGTAAGCATTTACAGGTAGGTAATTGCTTTCTCATCACCCCTTCAAATAAATAAATAAGACTCCGTTTGATTCACGGGAAAAGAGATTTAGAATCGGAATCAGAATCCAACTGTTTGGTTGGGTGGAATCGGAATCCCATTCTCATTCCAGCTAGAATAGCATTCCCCTATGAGAGAATGGCCATTCCCTGCCCCTTTTTTTATGAAAACTCAATCCTGCTGATTTTAATCCCCATTCCCATTCCTGTCTAAACCAAACAGATTATGAGAATAAACCATTCAGATTCCAATTTTGGAGGATTTCAATTCCAATTCCAAATATGAACCAAACAGACCCTAAATCTTGTAAAGTTTCCATGACAGCCAGTTATTCGTAATAACCTCGACTAACCTGATTTGATGTGGAATGCATATACAGGAAATTTATTGGTTGAAATTTCTAGGCCCAAATGATATAAAATGTGTATGTACGACATTATCCAGGTTTGGCAATCAATCAAGTGTTGTAGCTTTGGAATCCCAAACGTCATGGTCCGTCCATGTGTCCAGCCATAGACTGTTATCTAGATTCTACAACCACAAGAAGTTGTATGCAAATGCAACCATTATCCAAGAAAAAAACAACAGCAAGTATTCAAAGAAATACAGTTCTAAAGCACAACATGATCAGATTCAGAACAAATGAAACTTTCCAATGGTAACACGAAAACACCTACACTGGTCCACTATTCTTAAAATCCATCCAATCCGATCCGATCGAATGAGATACAATCTCTATACAATTATACTAGTGCAGTACATACTTTGTCAGAAAGCGTTAGCCCATTGATATATTCTTCTATCCTCTGATGATGGCTACTATACAACTCAAAAGGTTAAATATAAACTTATAGATGTCAAAGCTAAGAATTATAGGCTTACCCACAAAACAGAAAAGATGTTAGAACTTCCAGTACCAAATACTCAGAATCACCCCAAACAAATCCTCTTCAAAATTCAAGTTTTCTACATAACCCCGGATCAATGTTCCTGAATTTTCTCGTAGGTTTCACAGGGGCACCAGGGCAGGTTTCAGCGACACCATTTAAATGAGGCAACAATGTGGGTGTCTTCAAACCATCACGATTGGATTCCAAATGCAGCGTTTCATCTACAACTTCCTCAACCTGATTTGAAACAATCACTTCCCAGAACAATTTGCACACCGACTCCAAGAGTGCCTCCTGCTGCAATTCAGCTTCCACGCCATCATCACCCTCTTCACTGAATGCCATAGATTCAACTGAAGAAACAAAATTCAGACGCCTTGCAACTTTGTTTCGTGACTCCTCCAAGTACTTGTTACCCCGTGGAGCCAGCATCAACTCATCTGGTCCTGGAGCGAATGGATCAAATACATCTCGCTTTGGCGTCCTGGGGCTAACATCGGAGCCCGAAACCTCATCAATCGCGGCAGAATCAACACAAACCGCTACCGGAGGTGATGAAACCCATGTCAATGGAGACTTGAAGTCCAATACAACTTCACCATTCTCTCTGTCCGGAACAGGTGTCGTAGGTCCTAAAGTGGCACTTGACTCGGTCTCTTCCAATTGCTTACCATCTTCACTTTCTACTACAGTGGCCTTCTTCTGTTGCAGAGCTTCCTTTGGTGAATCCCCCTCAACTCTTGTTTTCTCTAAACTGGCTTCAGACTCCATATGTCATAAAATTTCAAACTGAAAAAAAGGAAAAACCCAAAAACGCAGATTAGCTTACTTATCGCGACATCAAAGCCCGACCAAGAACCAAGAAAAAATAAATAAATAAATTTTGAACAGCAAAAGGAAGCCCTAGGAGCAACATATAAAACCGAAATCTTGAACAACCAGAAGAGAACCCTAGGAGCAACACATAAAACCGAAATCTTGAACAACCAGAAGAAACCCTAGGAACAACACATAAAAGCGAAATCCTCCTACACCTCTCACAACAGACACCCAACACAGAACATAAGAAATTACAACTGATAGAGCCCTTAAAATCACTGAACTCGAACTGGAATTCTCACATTATAGCCGTTAATCAGAAATTAGAAGTAGGAGAAATAGATAGAAGTTACAAGAAAAAATAGAAAACCTAAAAGAGGAAGCTTATTCGGTATAGATCAGGTGAATTAGAAAGAGCTACATAAATGATAAATCCCTGAAATCATAGACTGTAATCTCAAATCGAAGGCATATACCTACCTGGTTCGGACTTTGGAGTTTGGAGGGAAGTTCGAAAAATGGGAGAAATGCAGACGCGGCGCGGCATTAGAAAATGAAGCAAAAGGTTAACGACGTTAGGGTTTAACGACGAGGGAATCTCCGCTGGGTATAGTTGGATCCGTGTGAGTTTGTTTTGTCCAGTAAGGTCATGCCACGTGTCGATTTGCGTTAAGTAGTAGAACACAACGACATCGCCTACATGGAAGCTGAGTGGAGTCCAGACTGGACTTACCTCAGTGATGATCAAATGAAGGTGAATACTATATAAAATTAATAAGTTATATTGGAGCCTTCCATTTTAGGAACTGTCTGTATATTCGTTCGGAAATAACTTTTCTTTATATGTCCATGAAAGATCTTACATCAGCCTTTTAGTGAAACAAAAACTAAATAACCCTCCTTTTAAGCTTTTGCATTATTTTATTTTGAAAATAGGGTAAATTTCTTAAAGGGAAAATTTCCTATAATAACTGTTAAGTATTCTGGGAAAAGACATAAATACCCTTCAAATGTTATCTAATTTTTTTTATCAACCATTTACGATCTGCAAGCCCTGTAAGTCTCCAATAACTATAGAGAGGAAGGCCGAACACCTATAAACAGTTGAATTGTCTATTGATCGAAAAACCGATGAGTGACCTCTCTAGACCATGAAGGAGTTGTTGGATCCTGTACAATGAAGGCGCCGACTAACGGTGTTGCGTCAACAGCGAATGCGTGCGATGGTTATTATTTTAAGGGTAATGCTAACTGAGGAAACGAAATGTCAAATTTATCCTCCACTGTTCCTCAAATTTCATCCCCTCTTCTTATTCTCTTTCTCCTTCTTCCTCTACTTATTCTTCATCCATCATCTCTATTTATCGTCTTCTCGACGGCGATCAGATAAACTAACTTGAAAAAACTGTCTAATTCTAAATTCCATTACATGGCTAAAAACCTACTAACCCCATTAACGAGCTTGAATACCCAACACCCACGAACCCCATTAACGAGAATTTCATTCTCTGAGCTACTTCCTTCTTCCTACATCTAAGAACCCACATTTCCCTATCTCACTCTGTGTCGGAGCCGAATAAGAGAGAGAGAGAGGAAACAAATGAAAGAAACGTCATTTGGTGACTCTCAGAACTCGTAAACCCAAACCCAACAGAAAAAGGGAGGAACAATTGGAAGCTTCAGTGGTTTAGACGGGAGAGAAGAATGGACGGTGGAGCAGGTAGGGGAGTTGTAGGAGACACGGGCGCGGAAATGTTGGAAGACGGGAGAAAATAGTGGACGGTGGAGCGGGCAGGGGAGTTGCTGGAGGCATCAGCGGGGTGGTGTCGTATTTGTCTTGGCAGAGAGAAAGAATTTGTAGGAGACGAGCAGTAACAAGAAAGAGAGGGAGGGAGCCCTTCGCCGGTGATTGTCGTCGCCTACGACGGCTGTGCCGAGAGGGAGAAAGAACGAAGGGAGAGTGCTTCGTTCTCTCTCCCTCTGGGCACAGCCGTCGCAGGCGACGACAGCCACCGGCGTGGGCTCCCTCCCTCTCTTTCTCTCCTCCTCCCCTTTGTTCTCTCTCTCCCCCCCATTCCCTCTCGCCCCTGTTTCATTACCGGCGAGTTGCAGAGGATGGATGGGTGAAGCTTGTAGTTGTGTTTTCTTCAAAACCCAGAAGGCCGGAACAAATTTTTTCATCGAAAATCGTGGTGGGTCTTTTAGAACAAAAGTCGCCATTAACGATGGATTCGTGACTGAGAATTCAGGGATGAGTTTCTATGAGTTATCGGGGATATCGGAAAGTGGGACGTTTTCCGAAAATCAAGCAATCTTACAAGCAGTTGGCCAGAAGTATCATCCGGACGTGTCCCCACCAGACCGGATAGATGAGTGCAGGATGAGGTTTATTCAGATACAGGAGGGAATGGGGGGAGAGAGAGAGAACGAAGGGAACGTCTCCTTTACAAAGGGAACGTCTCCGTAACCCCCGCTGCCACCACTACCTCCACCTCCTCTAGAAAGGACAGGACTTGGTGTCAAAAAATTTGGCGACGCCGGAGAAAATGGTCGAATACAGACGACGATAGTAGTGGCGATGGCGGCTGAGAGTTGGAGGACCGGTTGCAGAGTGATTCACTATAGCTGCTGCTGTTAGGGAGAGGGATGGTGAATTTGAAGGGAGAGGAACGAAGGGCAAAATTAGATTTTAAAAAAATTTATACATCACAAGACAATAACTAGACAGTAGAGGTACTGCTTGTCAATACTAGTTTAAGAGATTTGCCCTTATTTTAACTCCGAAAAAATGCTTGTTTTATATTTCTTCCCAACCAATTGTGTACTTCAAATAATAGAAGTGGTCCAACAAAAACACCCTCGGTTTTTGATAATTTGAATGGAAGATCTGTGATTGTACAATTCCTTCCGATCACATCTAGAGAACTGACCAAGGGACTATCTTAATATCTCACAACTGATGTACTTTTTGTTTCTACGTTAAAGTACGTACTTTTTGTTTGTATATATTCCTCTTCCTGGGTTGGGTTGTATAGCTTCAACATCTCAAGGAGAGCCAGCCATTTGGTGGCCACTTGGCTCTAAGTATCCATGCAAGAAGCTTCCTAGAAAGTGCCATAGGAGAACTCTCATCACAGAAAATAAAAAAAAAAAATCCTTCTCGAGCTCTCAAATCTTAATTCAGATATCAATGGCTTACACAGTTCTTTATATTAACAGTAGCATCACTCCCTTCCTCACCAAAGATCTCTAATCTGCTACATTCTTCTTCTTAGTTGTATTCGAATTGGTTGTAGAGCTTACAACAAACATCATGGCCTCAGAGGAGCATCGGACATTAATGGAGAACGGTCACGGCAATGACGGCAATCACAAGGGGTCGAGCAAGGAGATTCGGCACGGGAGGACTGCGCACAACATGTCATCGTCGTCGCTGCGCAAGAAGTGGGACCTCAATCTTGTCTCCATGGTGCCGTTTCAACGTCTCAGACTGTGCTTGGCAAACATCCAAGAGGTCATCTTGGGAACTAAGCTCTCTGTTGGCAAACATCCATTCCTTCGCCTCTGTTCCACGGTCATGGAAGAGCCTCCAAAACGACAATACTCATTCGTTCCCTTTCAGATTTTCGAAGAAACCTCACCATTTTGCTGAAGTCTTATTGTTCCCCAACATTAAGGCTAACTTCTTTCAACATTTCGGCTCCCCAACTCATCGATCCTCTGTTTCATGCGTCAGTCGAGAAGAGTGATGACAACAGCGACCCAAGTCTCCATTCTTCACTCAGAGGTTACCCACATATGAAACATTGTCTTCACCGACGAAGCTCCTGATTATAGGCCCGATTCAAAATTGCACTTAGAAGAAAACGCTCTAGAAAGAAGGTAGTTCGGCAGCGGCGCGTTTTTTCAAATTTAAAAAGATGCTTGTTGTCATGTCTCCCAGCGGTGCGTTTTTTGAATTTTGAAATAAGTGCGTGCTGTCACGTTTGTCAGCATTTATGGACGGATTGACGCATTTTTCCGACTTTTTGGCATTCGAGAAATCCGGAAGAATCCTGACGAACGCGCACTTCACGCTATCAGTCAACCAATTCGAAGTACGGGACAAATCCACCCGCCACCTCGCGAACTCCTCGCGCCAGGGCAAGTCCCTTTGCGCGAGGAGTGGGGGGCAATTGATGAAAGAAGATTTGGCCCGACCTCATAATCACTCAACACGTGGCAAAGGCAATAGCTCGGCACAACAGCACGCCCAAAGCGCGAGTTCCGAAGGGAGGAACCAAGGGTCCGAACTCCCTACAAGGAGCCTGAACTCCCCGTAAGGAACCCGAGCTCTCCCTTAGACCCCGAGCCTTACCAACACAAAGGGCAACAACCCGAACTGGCCTGCCCCATGGCAGTTTAGGCCACAACCTCTATCCGAACTCAAGACTTCACCTCGTACACCACTCCAGCACTTCGCCTCTAGGACGCCGAACTGAACAACCGCATCGTACCTGACACCGAAGGAGTCCGTATCCAGGGGCAGCGCACCTGACTGACTTGGGATCTGACGCTTGACAGCCGCACTTCAACGGCCACCTGCCATCGCCATCTCCAGTTACAGAGACGGCTCCGACAAAGAGAGCAGTGGCGGTTCTGCCCCAGCAGAGGTGATGACACCCGAACTGGTAGAAGCGCAGAGGTAATCATACCCGACCTGACAGAAGCTTAGGAGTGAGTGCACGAAATGGTTATAAAAGGCTCTCTACCCCCCATGAACAAGGTATGTGAACTTTGCGCCATCTGGTTTCATCTTGCCTTTGAGGAGATACTAACTTGAGCTTCGGAGCATACTCACCGGGTTCTTCCCCGGAGATTACTCTCTTTCCCCTTCGTTTCAGGCACCTTCTGCTCCAGCCCGAGGCAACATCTTTGACAGCTAGGACCCGCCGGATTGCGCACCATCATAATCCACCCCTTCCTTTAGCGTATTTCAAGTATTTGGATGGTGGTTGGAGTTGGTAATGAGACCGTCGTTGAACCAGCTCTCGTTAAGAGACTGTTACGTTCAATCTTGCTCAAATGGTGAAGAAGATGAAGAATTGGGGAGATCGGTAAGGGGTTGGGAGACCAAAAAGAAGATCATGAACAATGTGTAAGGGTAATTTTGGCATTTACAAAACATCTTAAATTGCACATGAGGTCACGTGATATACATAACTGACGGTCCAATAACGGTAGGTATTAGATTGTCGCATTTCGAAAGTTTGGGTACTAGACTCTTGCGTTTTAAAGTTTGGGTACTAAATTGACACTAGGCCTAAAGTACAAGAAACCTATCAAGAATTTTCCCTTTCTTAAACTACTTTTATGGTTTAGATAATTGACTAAGTGTACCTAACTGTTTGAAAATTGAGTAACGATACCCTTATTGTTTCTAACAATTGACTAATACTTCCCTTACCATTAGCGTCCATTAACAGAAAGACAAAAAGACTATTTTACCCTTTACTCTTCTTTAAATTTTCAAAATAAAACAGGGAAACGGGGAAAGAAATGCTGATTCATCAAAACACTAACATCTCAAACCCATAA